CTGATGCCTTAGTTATCTAGTGCTGCTATAACAGAAATGGGTGGTTTAACAAACAGAACTTTATTTTCTCATCGTTTAGGCGGCTAGACGTCCAGATCAGGGTGCCAACTACGCTGGCTTTCTCTGTCAACTCTGGAGGAAGGTCCTAATCTCTTCAGCTTCCACTTCCTAGTTACTTGGAGATCGCTATGTGTCTGGCATCTATCTTACTCCATCTCTGCTCACTCACTTGCTTGTTTAATCTGCCTTATATCTCAAAAGAGATTGTCTCAAGATACACCCTACACTAAAGGTGGAAAACTTTTGAGACCAGGAAAAACAAGGGAGTCCCCTCAAGTTCCAGCTCTCACAGGTTTCACTATATTTGAAGAAGAAGGACTTAATGAGGGAGTCAAATAAATTTAATCTGTAACACACCATTGTGGAGCCCCATGACTGCCAGATTTATTTTCTCCCAGAAGTTGTATTGCAGTGTAACATTTCAAAAACAAATTCCATTGTCCACATAGCTCAACTATTTGTATTCTCTTTCTCTCTCTCTCTCTCCCTCTGTCCCACTCTCTCTCTCTCTCTCTCACACACACACACACACACACACACAACCTGTGTTGCAGGTTTCTTTAAAAATTCTCCACTCTTTATAAACATTCTTTGAAGGACTCCAACACTTGTTTTTATCTAGCTGGCATATTCCAACTTGATTGAATTGAATTAAAACTGGTGAGGAACTTACTTTCTGCTTTCTGGGATGTTGCCATTTTAACTACTGGATGAATTATCAGTAAAAGTCTCCAGAAGCCTTTAAAGTTCATCAACTTTCACTCTCTTAATTAGGAATTTTTTTCAGTAAGTCTTCACTCACAATATTTCATAGAAAGGAAGTGAGTTAGAAGATGCTAAATGAAAGGCTGGTTAAGCTAATGGAGACTGTTTTGACCACATTCTTTTTTAAAATCTCGATTCTCCAAGGTTTCATAATCAAAGTCTTAATTTATACGAAGAGAGTTTATACATAAAACATGAGTGTTTGAGAGATTTATATTAAGGTTGGGAAGAATTAATTTGAATATTATTTGGCATAAATATGCTGTACAGAGGCAGCAAAACATAACTCAACAAACAAGAGGATTGTTCAACTTCCTTTGGAATTATGGTCTATTTACCTCAGCAATTTTTAAATTATCTGGCTCTTAGTTCTTTATCATATTTCCAACATTTTTATTTACCCTCTGCAGTTAAAAGCTTGGGATTTGTTTTGGAAAATTGAGCCAAACAGAAAATACCATGGTTATATACTCATTTCCTGGAGAGAATCATGATTTTATTGTTTGTGACAAAATGGTATGTCTTCTTTAATTAAAAAAGTGATGCTAGAAATAAAAATTATAGTTAGAAATAACCATCATTAATATTTGCCAGATATCATTCTAGAGATCATATTTATGTAGTAAATTTCACAAGAGAAATTAAAATAATATGAAATAAATGTGTGTCATATTGTTACCTTTAAATAAGAAGTATGAAATTGTATTTTATTTTAATAAAAGAATAAAACTGAAGTAAATTCAAAGAATTGATGAACTTGATATTTTCTCAACATCAAAAAATTATCAGAAGATCCTTCTGAAGAAAAACTTTTAAATTATGTTGTTGTTGTTGTTGTTATTGCCGTTGAGTCGGACCCAACTCATAGCGACCCCCCTTGGGTTTCCGAGGCAGTATCACTATGGAAGTAGATTGCCCAACCTTCCTTCTGAGGAGTGGCTGGTGGGTTTGAACTGCCAGCCTTCTGGTTAGGAGTCAAGTGCCTTAGTCACTACACTACCAGAGCTCCCTTTACATTATAGTCATTAAATAAATACATATTTTAACTTTGGATATTGTCTTATGATTTCTTGCTGTGAAAAATGAAGAACTCAGCATTATAAACATTTTTCTCTCCTCTCCTTTCATCTCCCTTCCCTCATTTTGCTCATTATGAATTTTAGCATTTACATTCCTGCACCTGTACAGCTATACTACCACAGCTGTTGGTCTACTTCTGTATCCAACTAAATTCCAACTCAACCCCAGCCTCTTCAGCTTGGGTTCTGTACTCTTCTTCTTTTCATTTGCTTTTGGCTGGATGAAGTTCATTTCCAACTCATGTCTTGAGTTTTTGCATGCTTCAGAATGAAAAGTTAAGACATTTAAGAGAGAGATGCACATTTAACAGAAAATAACAAATGCTGGTGGGGATGTGGAGAGATTGGGACTCTCATACTCTGCTTGTGTGACTGTGAAGTGACACAACCACTGTGGAAAGCAATATGGCGATTCCTTAGGAAGTTGGAATTGGAGATACCATTTGACCCAGCAATCCCATTACTACATATATATCCTAGAGAGGTGAGAGCCAGGATAGGAACAGATACATGCACACTCATGTTCATTGCAGCACTATTTGCAATAGCAAAAAGATGGAAACAACCTACGTGCCCATCAGTGGAAGAGTGGATGACCAAACTATAGTACATACACAACCTGGAATGCTATGCAGCACTGAAGAATAATGTAGAGTCTGCAAAATACTGCATAATATGGATTAGTTTGTGGGGACTTTTTCAAGTGACACCTTTGACTGTAAAAACAAAAATCAAGGTAATTGAAAGAGGAATATAGAAATGAGAAGGAAAAATTGAAATCAGATTAGAATATATTTCTACTCTAAGTTTCATGGTTACCTATGAATAGATAATTCATATATCCCAAATGTTCTTAATCCCAGTATCAATTATTCTGTTTATTACTATAACAGATTCATAAAATGTGGTTTCTTTACTGGCCAGTGATGGCGATAAAGTGCAGATTGCCTGTCCTTTGTCGCGGTGATGAATTCCAGCAATAGGGTTGTAATTGGAAGTTCCTTTGAGGATCCTTTAAATCTTTACCTGGCCCTAGTCTGCATTAGTACCTTGTGGCATCACTGCTGCCCAACTTCCATTTACTAGTCCCTCAAAAGCATCTAGTCTTATGTAAGAGGTACACACACCTCACTCAGAAGCAGGTTCCTTGAACCTAGAATTATAGAGAAAATTGACATAGTCTAATAAAATCTTCCTGCATTATGGCTGGAATGTGAATTACCTTGAAAGGAAAAAAAAAAACTAAGAAGAGAAATCATGAATCTCTCCCTTAGAGATTATTGAACAATCTCTCACAGGCCTTCAGTTTCCCAATCATTAGAGTTACAGAAAGTAATTTTAGGTGGATGTGACAATTTTTTTTTTATTTTAATAGCAATATTTTTATTTTAATGTGTATTACAATACACATTATATATCACAATATACATGTACATATATCTAGCAAAATGACAATGATACAAAGTTTCATTTTTAATATAAGTAGAAAGTGAGCCAATTTAAAGAAAACCATAAAGTGAACAATAATTTAGATAATATGCAGATGGCAACAGCAATGTGAAAGTGATGTGCAAATGAGTAAAGTTTCATGATGAGACTATGGAAATTAGAAATACTAGTTTTCGATTAGTGGAGTATAGGATTAATGAAGTATAGGAATCAGAAACCTATTTAAAGTATGCATATTACAAACCTGCATTTTTCTTTAGCGAAATCTACCTGTATCATATGCAATGGTTCTCAATTTATTATCCACCAAGACACACATGATGGCTTGCATGTATGCATCATGTGTTCCTGTGGAGACACACAATTTCTGTGCCTTCTCTGTAACTCCACCTCTTTTCCACCAACTCCAGAAAGTATTTTGGAAGGCAAGCCAATGAGAAATATTATAATAGGGATAACTTTTATTCTACTCTGACTCATTTATTTATTTTGTTGTTGATCAGAATATACACAACAAAACATACATCAATTCAAAATTTTCAACATACACCATTTAGTGACAATGACTACATTCTTCAAGTTGTATGACCATTCTCATCTTCCTCTTCTGAGTTATTCCTTCTCCATTAATATAAATTCACTGCCCCCTAAGGTTCCTTTATAATCTTTCAAGTTGCTGTTGTCAATTTGATCCTGTAGAGATAGTTCTTAAAAGATCATAATTGTCAAGGCAGACATTTTTTACTAGTTATGTTTGGCTTTAAGAGTAGTTCAGGGAACATTTTTGGTTTAATGTTTACATTCCAACTCATGTTTAAAAGAGTAAATTATTTACAAATAAGTACTTTAGCTTTTACTAACAAAGAATTTTTAGCACACGTCATGATTGATTGCCACTTGCCAGGGTACCCAGTATGCTTGAGAAGCAGTGATCTCACAAACTCATTTTGATCTAAAATATCACGTGTGGTGTTCTGGTTACCTAGTGCCACTCTGACAGGAAACATACCACAAATGGGATGGCCTTAACAAATAGGAGTTTATTCTTACAATTCGGAGGCTTTAAGTCCAAGTTCAAAGTGCCAGGCTCTAGGGGCTGAGTGAAAGCCCCTCAACCTTGGGGTCCAGCTCCGCCTCCTGCTCCCGGCCCACTGGAGCTAGAGGCCTTTCTTTGCTCAGACAGCTGCTGGCTGCTGAGGCTGAGAAGCCCAAGGTTGACAAGTAGAAAGGCACAGTCCCAATGTTACGAAACCACACGGCAGGCCATTAACTTAATTCCATTGTAAGTCCCAAGGTCGGCAGAGCATAGCAGGCTGCTGAACAACGACATAGCTTCATGCAGGGTCCAAGCATGCCATAGGCTAGAGACCATTCCCAAAGGTGCTGCTTATATACAGGAAGCAGACCACATACCCAAAGGCAGCTACTCAGCTGCTTGTGGTAGATCCCACCATGGAGTTGATTGCCAGTCTCATCATGAGAAATAACTACCACCAGCTGCCCAGCCACTCAACCAGGCCCAGCCAAGTTGACACACAAACATAACCACTGCATGTGGAGACTACTTTGGGGGTATCTGTGCTTTGGGAACTGTTTTTCATATTGCCTCTGACCAATAATATCCCCTTTTCTCTTTTATACACACAGACTGTTGGGCGGGAGTTGCTGCTCCATTTGATTGAGCATCTTGTAACCAATGATGGAAAAGACACTGAAATCACACATCTAATCAATAGTACCCGGATACACATCATGCCTTCAATGAACCCAGATGGGTTCGAAGCTGTCAAAAAGCCTGACTGTTATTACACTAAAGGAAGGTAAGGATGGGTTAGGCTGTCTTTATTTAAATAAACAGACCAACAAAACCCAGAAGGCCCCATCAGGTGGTATTTGCCATCCCAGGCAAGAGGAGTCAGCTAGCAGTGAAATGTCTCACAGCCTGTGGTGGCATGAATTCTTCAGGACTGCCTGTTGCTTTTAGGGTCAAATGTAAAGTTCTGAACTGGCTGCTTTAGTCCTGTGCAGCCTCACTGCTCCAACACCATTCACTATACCCCATCATTCCCCCTGCTTCTGCCACTCTGGGCCTATCTCATTTCCTTGAACCACCAGGCTTTTCCTCACCTCAGGAGTTTTGCATATGCCATTTTTTCCCACTCCTTACCTCCCTCCCCCTACTTAAATAGCATTTCCTCTAAGACTCCTTCCCTGACCTATTATATATTACACTCTCCCACCCACCAGCTGTCTGTCAAAGAAAGATGAAACAGCCTGCTTCTGGAAAGATTTACAGTCTTAGAAACCTGAAGAGACAATTCTGCTCTGTCCATAGGATCATTATGAGTCAGACCTGATTCAATGGCAGTAGTCACTAAACTACTCATGGATCTGACTCATAGTGACCCCTCCTTGGGTTTCCGAGGCCAAGTATTACTACGGAAGTAGATTGCCCATTTTCCTTCCAAGGATTGGCTGGTGGGTTTGAACCACCAGCCTTCTGGTTAACAATCACGTGCCTTAGGCACTATGCTACCAGAGCTCCTTCAATGGCAGTTGGTTTTTCTGTTATACTATCATATCACCTGGTACTTTATCTTAATAGCCAAACTTTTAATGTCTATTATTGTTTGTTTGCTTATTGTCTCTCTCAACTATAAGCTCCCTGAGGACTGGAATCCCCCCCCCCATGTGTTCATCATTGTTAAATCCTCAATACCTAATTTAGTTAATAAATCAATTGATTTAGTAAGCCAGTATTCCAAGAACTAACCACAAAGAAGAATGGATCTTGTAGTATTTCTGATTTAAACAGAGTTCATTTTGTGTCAAGCTAACTTGGGAAGATTGGAGTTTCTCAAATTTCTAGTATACATTTATATTTGTGCAATTTAAAATTTTGTCTGCCATACCAAAAATAAGTAGATAAAATCTCACCAATTGGTTCCTTTAATTTTTCCTTTTTCTAGCATATGTAAATATGGTACTCTACTTTTCAGGTACACATCTGTATAAAGCCACCACCTTCCTGTTGTTTCAGCCATTGATGACTGAGTAACAAACCACTCCAAAATTTAGTGATTTTTCCATTGGCTCTCAATTCCATAAGTCAGGAATTTGGGCTGGGTACTTTGTTGTTGTTGTTGTTATGTGCCATCGAGTCAGACCCGACTCATAGCAACCCCTACTTGGGTTTCTGAGGCAGTATCACTACGGAAGTAGATTGCCCCATCTTCCTTCTGAGGAGTGGCTGGTGGGTTTGAACCACCAGCCTTCTGGTTAGCAGTCAAGTGCCTTAGGCACTACACTACCAGAGCTCCCCTGGGTGCTTTAGGGATGACTAATACCTATTCCACCATGTCTGGGGCCTCAGCTGGGATCTGGCTAGGACAGCTAGCCTAGGGCCATAGGTCTTGTGTCTCAGATGTGTCAGTTAGCTGCTTTCTTCATTTGAGCTCTCCATGTGAACTCTCCATGTCACCATGTGACACTGAGATGTCAGGGTTCCAAAAGGGAGTGTCCCAAGAAAAGCCTCTAAATCCAAGTACGTACAAACTTTTGCTTGCTTCATATCAGCTAATGTCCCAGTGGTCAAAGCAAGTCATGGCCAACCCAGTCAGTGTGGGAAGGACTACACAGAATGTGAATGCCAGGAGGCCCCCAGTGTAGCTGCCCACCACACCTGTATTCCCATTTGGAGAAACTTCTAGGGTCCAAACCAAAAGTCTCCACATTATACAAATTAATTCTCTCACGTACCATCAATAAACCCTAAAAAAAAATTCTTTCTTTTAAAGGGAAAATTATAATGAATATGACCTGAATAGGAATTTCCCTGATGCTTTTGAATTCAATAATGTATCAAGGCAGCCGGAAACTGAGGCAATCATGAAGTGGCTGAAAACAGAGACATTTGTCCTCTCTGCAAACCTCCACGGTGGTGCCCTGGTGGCCAGTTACCCATTCGATAATGGTGTCCCAGGTAAGCAGAACATGTGGCCTGGCTCCGGCTTTCAGGTCCACAGTGGAGCCACAAACTTCTCCCTCTGAAAGGGAATAAACTCTACTCCCCCCAACTCAGCTTCTCTGACAGGGATAGGAGCCTCACTTCCCCCACTGTGAGACATACTCCCTAGAATTTATAAACAATAGATGGGCAGTGTGGCTGAGCTGACATTCATCAGTGAAATGTTAAAATCAGGATTTGGATGACCTCATAAGAGGCAACACGGCTGAAAGAATAAAAAGACTTACCTTTCTTTGCTAATCAAGTGAACAAAAATTACTGACTCCTCTTAAAAAAAAACTGTGGGTGGAGGAATCTTAAAAGCAGACTGCTAAGTAAAAGAAGCCAGTCTACAAAGGCTATATACTTCATGGAACTAACCATATGACATTCTGGAAAAGGCCAAACGATAGAGACAGTAAAAAGATCGATGGTTCCCAGGAGTTGGGGCAAGCACAGGAGAGGAAGGATGAATAGGCAAAGTTTAGGGGATATTTAGGGCAGTGAAACTGTCCTGTATGATACTGTAATAAATAAACGTGCTGCCATTGAGTCGGATCCCACTCATAGCGACCCCTCCTTGGATTTCTGAGGTGATATCTTTACAGAAGTAGATTGCCCAACCTTCCTTCCGAGGAGTTGCTTGTTGCTTTTGAACTGCAAGCCTTCTGGTTAGCAGTCAAATGCCTTAGGCACTATGCCACCAGAGCTCCCATGATACTGTAATGGTGGCGACATAACATTATGTATTTGTCAAAATTCATAGAGCCATACAACACACAAAGAGTGAACCCAATGTAAACTATGGATTTTAGTGAATAATAATGTATCAATATTGGTTCATCAGTTGTAAAAAATGTACCTCACTAATGTAAAATACTAATAATAGGGGAAACAGAGTAAGAGAGAGAGAGAGAGAGGTATATAGGAGTTTTCTGTACCTTCTGCTCAATTTTCTGGAAACCTAAATTGCTCTAAAATAAAAAGTCATTATTTGAAAAAAAAAACTGTCAGAGAAGGTATGTACCATAGATAGGGCAGATGAAAACTGGTAAAACCCCCAAGCTGTGTCCCCAGGTTGTCCTTCAGGCCTGGAATTGGACTTCTTTCCATGGATTAGCTCTCAGCTAAACAACAGAAACGAGTGAGCTGAACACCTACCGCTGAACACCTACCCCAGGGAATACACCCCTTAGAACAGTCAGCGTGGGAGATCTCAGATAGCATTTGCATAGGGAGAAAGCAAAACAGACAGGAATGCATAGGTAAGAAGGACAGAGGGAACAAGTAGTCACAGGGAGATGGGAGGAGAGCTGTTTATTGTTGGAATTGTAATCGGTGCCATGAAACAATATGTATATGAACTGTTGAGTGTAAAACAAAATCTGCTTTGTAAATTTTCACCCAAATCACAATTAAAAGAAGAAGAAGAAGAAAGAAGAGTAGAGGGAGCATTCAGAGAAGTGGGTAGAAGATTTTCTATAGGAAAATTATTTACCTGTGATGTGATTGTGGTGTTTGCTAGTAAGATGGTGCATGTTTCTGCTAAAGTCAATTAAAAGGTCTTGGTTTCTCTTTCCAATCCAGCAACTGGGACATTACATTCCCGTAGCTTAACCCCTGATGATGATGTTTTTCAATATCTCGCACATACATATGCTTCAAGAAATCCCAACATGAAGAAAGGAGATCAATGTAAAAATAACATGAAATTTCCCAATGGAGTTACAAATGGATACTCTTGGTATCCACTTTTAGGTGAGTTTCTGCTCATTTCTACCATTCTCTTTATTGCCATCATCCAAAGGGGCCAGCTGGTTTATGTTGACATCAACAGTTGTCAAAAGATCTTTAGGCACAGTGCCGACTCTTCCATCATGTCTCCATCAGCTGATATCACAAGAGAAGTGGACAGGAGACTGATAGTTTGGGAGATGCTCAGTCATGTTCCTCACTGCCCAGGGCCTCTTTCATTTATTCAAACACTTATTCAGAATCTACCTTGACTGCTAACCAGAAGGCTGGCAGTTCAAACCTACCAGCCACTCCTCAGAAGGAAGGTTGGGCAATCTTCTTACACCTCAGAAACCCAAGGAGGGCTTGCTACGAGTCAGATCTGATTCCACGGCAGATAACAACAACAACTACAACCTCTTATGAGCCAGAAACTGTGCTGGAAGAGAGAAAAGGACACAGATCATACCCTCAGGTTTAATAGAGGGGATAAATATGTTGATAAATAATTGTGATAGCATTGTTGTTGTTATTGTTAAGTGCTGTTGAGTTGATTTTGATGCACAATGATCCCAAGTGACAGAGTAGAACTGCCTCGTAGGGTTCCCTCTGCTGCAGTCTTTACAGCAGCAGATCATAAGGGCTTTCTTCCTGGATAGGTTCGGACTGCCAGCCTTTCTGTTAGCAGTGAGCGCTTAAACATTGGGCAACCAGGGCTCCTGATAGCAGAGTAATTAGAATAAAAATGAGATTTAGAAATGGCGTAGTATATAGAGGGGATAAAACCCAATACCACAGGAAGTAGTGGCTTACTATAGTCAAGGACAAGTGTGGATCACACCAGGTGATGCTGTCAAAGAGAGTGACACCCAAATGACTGTCTATAAAATTTTGTGCAGGGTTTCAGCAGAAATGTATTATTTTTTATGAAAATATCCCTATAGTTAGTTATAATATCAAAATCCTTTTTCATAAGCCCAATTTACATGTATCAATTTACTGACAAGGCTGAAACTCTATGCTAATTTGTTTTTTGAACTTTCTAACATTGCTCCAGTCAGAACTGTCATTATTACCCAATTACAGTGATACTTGCATTCATTCACAAGGTTTCATCTGCATATGCTACAAGCATGTGCTGTTGTTTCCATTGTTGCCAGTGTTTTCATGGCTGCTGATAGTGTCACATTTTCTGGTGTTTTACTACAACATTGTGGTAATTAGTATTTGTGAACTTGTATCAATAAATTTTTTAAAATGAAATAGTAATTAAAAGCCAAAAAAGGCTTCCGCTCAGTTACTAATAATGCTGTAGCTAATAGTGTTGTAAGTCAAAGTAGAAAGATTTTACAAAACAATTTTGTTGTTAGTATTCATATAATCTAAGACATACTACATATTTATCCTATATTATTCTCTGATTGACGTTGACAGTAAACATTAGTAAGGATTCTGTATGGTCTGGTATGGGAGGAAGTCCATGGGGGGGGGGGTTATTATGCCATGAGCTACCACACTGGGTAATACCAACCCTGTGACGCCACCGACATGAGTGGTGAAGACCTTGGAGAAGTTTAACACTCATTTACCAGCTAACAGGGCCCCCTGATGATTGTCATGCAGCAGTGGGGCCCAGTACTGCCAGTCCTTCCAGTTTATAAAAGCAGCTGGATTCAGAGATGAAGTATCATGATTTTAAAGTCACTTTTCAGGCTAAGGGAGCTCTGGTAGCATAGTGGCTAAGACACTTGCCTGCTAACCAGACGGCTGGCGGTTCAAACCCACCAGCCACTCCTCGGAAGGAAGGTTGGGCAATCCTACTTCCGTAGTGATACCGCCTCGGAAACCCAAGGAGGGGTCGCTATGAGTTGGGTTTGACTCGACGGCACATAACAACAACAACAACAATTTCAGGCTAAATGAAAGAGCTCTTCAGGCTGGGTACAGCTAGAAGGCCCTCTTGTTTTCCACCTGTGGTATAGGATGGCCAGGCAGTTAGCAAGGAGAGTGCCACATGGGGACCATGGAAAGGGGGATATTCTTAGGAGATGGAATAACATAAAACAGAAGCCCAGGGGCATGAGAGAAGTCCTCCTTGTTTAGGAACTGAAAGGCAATAGGGGGGACCTTGAGTGGAAGGACAAGAACAGACACATTGGCCTGGCACCCGATTTCTGTTGCCTTCTTGGAAAGCACCCCTTACTGCACTAGTTAGCCTGATCCTACTAACACTAGCTACTGTTTTGCATGCAGAACACTTCCAAAGGCACCATGCCAGGTTATCACTTTGGCTGCATAAAACTACTGAGCAGTCTTGCACAAACTGGCACTTTTGGGTCTGGGTGGCTGTGTGCCAGCTTTGCAGGCAATGTAAATAAGCATAGACTACAAGTGATAGGATGAGGGTAATGGTGGTTCAGTGGTAGAATTCTTGCCTTCCATGTGGGAAACCCAGGTTCAATTCCCAGCCAACGTACTCATGCATAGCCACAACCTGTCAGTGAAGGTTTGTATGTTGCTATGATACTGGTAGCATAGTGCCTAAGGCACTTGACTGCTAACTAGCCACTCCTCAGAAGGAAGGTTGGGCAATATACTTCCACAGTGATTCCACCTTGGAAACCTAAGGAGGTGTTGCTATGAGTCGTGTCCGACTCATTGGCACATAACAACAACAACAAATGATACTAGAAGCTATGCCACTGGTATTTCAAATTTCAGCAGGGTCACCCATGAAGGACAAGTTTCAATGGAGCTTCCAGACTAAGGTGAACTAGAAAAAAAGGCTGGTGATCTACTTCAGAAAACCAGCCAAGGAAAACGGTATGGATCATAGTGGTCTGTCTCATCCAGCAGTCTCATCCACAACTGCGTAGAGATGGTGCAGGACTGGGAGTGTTTGCTTCCACTGGGAATGGGGATGCTAGGAGTGAGGATCCGACTTGATTTCAGCTAACAGTGATTGACAGGCAGCACCTCCCAAACTTCTCTCTATTGTACGGGATCCAGCCCTCCCCCCCCACCCTGGGCCTCCTGCCCAGTCCGTGATCTTCACTCTTAACACGTAGGAAAGGGCCACCCCTTGCCCAGTAGCAGAGCTGTCCTTCATGGTCATTATCTCCATCTGTAACTTTCAAGACAAATCCAGATGTGTGGGAAGTTAGCTAGGAACCTACAGTTGCTGTCAGGAATTGCTCCCGTATGTGCCAATGTGTGAGCTGTGTATCCTTCTAGACAAGAGGCAAACAGAGCCAGCAGCCTTAAGAGCTTAGAACCAAGCCTTCTGCTCAGCCTAATGTTTTGTTGGCCAGCCTGGTGGCCTTCTCCTTAACTGCACCCATTCTGCCTGCTCCACATAATGCATACCTACACCTGTTTGGCCATTTAAATTCTTTCCACCTGACCTATAGCCAGCTAGCTAAAAACTTTTTTTTTTTTTTGTTCTATTTTGCTTCTCCCTTTCTTTCCCCCTTCTAGCTCTTGGTGAAAAATTAGATCAGAAAGAAGTACAAAGTCTATAAAGTAAGTAAAGGAAGGGCAGAGAAATTCTTCCTGGCTGGAATCTGGACCTACATATATATTACTTGACATTTAAATAATATTTCACCCATTTCTTAGCATGAATTTTTTTTTTCTACCTCAATGTTTCCCAAATACTCTGATGGAATTGAGAACATATATTTTCTTGGCCTAAAATCAAGTATAACAATTTAAAATCTGGCAAAACTACTTTCTTCAAAATTACTGTATTTGATCAAATTTAAGATGCCATTGATGGTACACAACATGCCGTCGAAAAAAAATTTTACAAAAAATTCCTATCTTGGAAATGGGAAGTATGTTTACAACTCTTTGAAAATCAGCCTCTAGAGATAAGGAGCTCTGGTGGGGCCGCAGTTAAGGCATTCGGCTGCCAACCAAAAGGTTGGTGGTTTACTCCCACCAGCTGCTCCACGGAAGAAAGATGGAGCCATCTGCTTCCATAAGGATCTACAGCCTTGGAAATCCTATAGGGTCACTATGAGTTGGAATCCACTTGATGGCGGTGAGTTTGGTTTGTTTTTGGAGAAATAAGAAAAGGGAAGTGAGTGTGAGCAGTGGCAACCCCCAAAAGCCACGGGGACTTGTGTCTTTTACCTCCTAGGAGTTGCCAAAGCAGTGACTCTTTTATCCCTGAGTGCAATTTGGTGTAATAACTTGATGCATGAACGGAGAAGGAGTCCCTGGGTAGTACAGAAAGTGCTCAGCTGCTAATCAAAAGGTTGGAGGTTCACATCCACCCACAGGCACCTCAGAAGAAAGATCTGGCAGTCTACTTGTAGAAAATCAACCACTGAAAACACTCTGAGATGAAGTTCTCCTCTGACACACGCATGGTCGCCATAAGCCAGAGTTGACTCAACAACTACTGGGTTGTTTTATTTTGTTTTAATGGGTGGAGACCAAGATGGCCTGGGTAGCAGTCATTTCTTAGCTAGACTCTTGGGCATATTACTTAACATCTACGAATAAGGATCCTCATCTGTAAATCAGGGATAATAATTGCTGTAAGGATTAAAAGAGTTGATTCAAAGCACTTCAAATAGTACCTAGCAATAGTGAGCACTCTCATCTCCCTAAAATGAGTGTACTTAGGTTTACATAATAAATGTATTTATAAATGGGCTATATGAATATTTTTTTTAAAAAATTTACTCTATTCTATAGATGTTTAAAATGTGACTTAGGGAAGGGATACAATTTGAAGAATGCTTTTTCTAGTATAAAACAGGGGCCCCCTGCACCCCTCATAATTTTGATGCACAGTTGAACTTCAATCAGCTCTGGTTCAGTTACCCATATGGGAGTAATTAAGGTTGTTTGGTCACGTGGGGTAATAAAATGTCAAGTCCTGAGTTTATATGCTAATATGTCAGATCCATCTTTTCCTGTTTACATATACTTCCCTTGCCCAGTTCACTCCTCCCTAAGGTACAGGATACTTGGCTCTGTTCCAACCCAGACCTTAATGGTAATTAAATATGCTTGTATTTAGGTGGAATGCAGGATTACAACTACATCTGGGCCCAGTGTTTTGAAATCACGTTGGAGTTGTCATGCTGTAAATACCCTCGTGAGGAGAAGCTTCCATTCTTCTGGAATGATAACAAAGCCTCATTAATTGAATACATAAAACAGGTGCACCTAGGTTTGTACTATTTTATTAATTCCTTATTAACACAAAGCATAGCGACTGGCAAAACCTGCGGGTTGAGAAAATGCAAGCCCCCATCTGCGTTTTTCTAGGGACCAGGTAGAAGTAGTGGTTAAGCATTCTCTCTGCAGGCTTACCTGTAGTATGTGAGAAGTTTGGTACCCTTGAGTCCATCCACGAGGAGGCATGTGGCATGTTGCTTTGACATGGTGGTTCAAATAGCCAGAGGACCTCCAGTTTTATGTGTTGAATGACCTGAGAATCTGGCTAAAAAAAAAAATAAGGAAAACAGGCTATTACTCAGCTAATCATCTCCTATTTAGAGAAAAGCCAAGTTTGTTGACCACTTGCCACACAGTATCACAGACCCAGAGGACATCTGGATATTCATCTTTGGCAGTTTTTCCAGAAGCAAGGTGGTGGCCTAGCAGCATTTGCTTCAACACCCAACTCTGCCAAATGACCTGGCACTAGGAAGCTCCTCAACCTGTCTGAAGAGTGTCCTTTATCACAGATGATCAAACTAAACGTGGCAACAGAGTGGTGCTTCTCAAACGCACAGTGGACTCACTTGGAGGGTGTGTTTAAGACCAAGGCTTTGAACCCATTCGTTCTGGTTTGACCCCTGCTGAGATTTGGCCTTCCCACCCCAGATATACTAAATTAGAATCTACATTTTAACAAGATCCCCAGGTGATGAAACTGTTCCAAGTCCTAGTTAAAACATCAAATGTTATTCCCAGAGGTTCTGATTTAGTGGGTCTTGAGTTTCTAACAAGTTCCCAAGTGATGCTGATGTTGCTGGTCCAGGAACCACATTTTGAGAATCACTGCACTAGATAAACACACTGCTTGCAATGATGATGGATTGAGTACAGTTCAAGATTATTTAACTCGTCTCATTTATTTACCCAGTGTCTCTGTGGGCAAAGTGTGGATTGCCCTTCTGCACTGTCAGAGTTGAAGTTATCTTTCTCCATTCAGAATGGCCTAAGGGAAGAGACTCCTTACAAACTGGCACAGTACTGATGCTACCGTGTCAAGCCAGAGTGGAATGTATATGTATCTGTTGAAGGTTTGCATGCCAGGCCTGCTGCATAATTTCTGATTTACTGTATGCTTCACACAAAAACTGTCCATTTGCCAAAAAGGAGATGAAGAAGAATGACGGGGGCACAAATCAGAAGCACAGGGATACAGGGCTGAGTACAAAAAGAACTGGAACTTTCTTCACCTCACATCCCTAAAACGGATGCCCTTACCCCATCCCACTCCTACTCCCCCATCTCACCCCCCTTCCTAAACAGAAGTACACAAAGGTTATCAGTGAACTCACAGGGTTCTGACCAATAGTCTTTCATGAGGTCAGTTGCTTCCCTGTGGTAGGCGATGTTACAGAATGCCATCTTTCTCTTTCACCAACATCTTCTTAAAGTTTACTAAGCTTATTATTTCTCCCTCCTTGTTATGCCCACAAACTTTCTTTTGGATCCTCTCCTACTTAGTATTCTGGAAATTTCTTTCTCCACTAAGATTTTCCTCATGGAGAGGAGTCAGCCTTCTATTGTATTTTGTCTTCTGTATTGATCCTTTAGCGTGTTCCTCTGTTCATTTCCAAAATTTATCCTCCATAAGCACCAACATGGGAGTACAACTGAACATGAAATATACTCCGTATGACAGCACTGCTATTCAGCCTAGCTCTAATGGTTATTTGCCAAGCACTGACTGAAAGTGGGCTCCAAATAATGTAACACTGCCAGTGAAGGAGATTTGTAAACTGTTAAATACCCTACAAATTGTGGCATAACTTCATTATTATGAATTTGGAATGTGCACACCCCCAATGACACTTGGTTTTATAAAGAACATTTGTGTCATCTGATGTAAATAATTTACTTAAAAAGCACATTAGCTCATCAATCCTGACCTCTTGTGGTTTAAGACAGAGGCATTTTTCTAGTTTAATAGTGAAACCGTGTTTCAAAACACTGATACAATGTGGTTGTTATTACTTGATAGAAAAGTTATGACTATGTTGGTATCCAATAAGGAGCCAGAGACTATTTTTGTGGATGATGAGATTGCTTTGTTTAAGGAAACTATTAAAATCTGTCCATCTTTGTTGCATTCACTGTTCAGTTTTACCACTTGCTCTGATGCCTCTGAGTCTCTGAGATTGTCATGCATCTGATTTGCCTCTGTTAGGGGAGGAAAAGCCTCCTGCTATAATGGAAGGAGGAGCTCTGGTAGCATAGTGCCTCAGGCACTTGACTGCTAACCAGAAGGCTGGCTGTTCAAACCCACCAGCCACTCCTCGGATGGAAGGTTGGGCAATCTACTTCCATAGTGATAATGCCTCAGAAGCCCATGGAGGGGTCACTATGAGTTGGGTCCAGCTGGACAGCAAATAACAACAACAACATAATGGAAGGGACTGGCCAAGAGGGCAAGAGCCTGGTTATAGCCCAAGCTGCTTTGTTATTTTATCTTTCCAGTTGTTCTATCTTTCATTGAAAGTGGTGTGTTAAAGCCTCCCACCATGACTGTGGAGTCATCTATTTGCCTTTTCAACTCTTTTAAAGTCTGATTTATGTATTTTGGGGCTCTTTCATTGGGTCTATAGATATTTATTATGTTTATATCTTCTTGTTCAATTGATCCTTTAATCATTATATAATGTCCTTCCTTGTCTCATATGGTGGTTTTTGTCTTAAAGTCAGTTTGACTAGAAATTAATATTGCCACTCCTGCTCTTTTTTGGTTGCCATTTGCTTGACAGATCTTTTTTCAACCTTTGATTTTTAGCCTATTTTTATCTTTGTCTCTAAGGTGTGTCTCTTGTGGACAGCATATTGATGCGTTATGTTTTCTTATCCAGTCTGCAACTGTCCATCTCTTGAGTGCCACATTTAATCCATTAACATTCAGAGTAATTATCAACAAGTATGAATTGGTTGCTGTCATTTTGTTATGTGTTTTTCCATGGTGTTCCTGGTTTCTTTGTTTCATATAATTTTCTCTGCTGAGCTCATTATGTTTATGAATCATGTTATCATTTCCTTTGTTGCTATTGTTTTTGTATTTGCTAAATATTTTAGCTTTTCCTCTTTTTTATTGTGATGTGAAGGTTTATCATGTTTGTTTGAGGTTACCCTGTGATTTATAACTTTCTCCCTGAGTTTAGAACAGTCCATTCTATCTTGCACCTCTCTTGACTTCCTCACCATTTAGAGGTCTGTAACTATGCAGTATTTTCCCTGTTTGCAGTTGTGGTGGTGAAGTTTGTCTGTCTACTTGGCTAGCCTGGTTGAGTGGCTGGGCAGCTGGATGTAGTATTCCCAGTGATGAGACTGATAATCAGCTCCATGGTGGAATCTACTGTGAGCAGCTGAGTAGCTGGCTTTGGTTATGTGGTCTGCTTCCCATATGTCAGAAACAGCTTTTGGAATGGTCTCTAGCTTATGGCATGCTTGGACCCTGCATATAGCTGTGTAGCTGTTCAGCGGCCTGCCATGCTCTGCCAACTTTGGGACTTACAATGGACTTGAATTAATGGTCTGTCGTGTGGTTTGGTAACATCGGGACTGTACCATTTTATTTGTCAACCTTGGGCTTGTTAGCCTCAGCAGCCAGTAGCTGAGTGAAGAAAAGCCTCTAGCTTCAGTGGGCCAGGAGCAAGAGGCAGAGCTAAAGCCCAAGGTTGAGGGGCTTTCACACAGCCCTTAGAGCCTGGCACTAGTTCAAACTTGGACTTCTAGCCTCCCAAACTGTAAGAGAATAAATTCCTGTTTGTTCAAGCCATC